GCACTGTACACTACATGCCACACATTCATTCATTCATTCATTCATTCATCGCAGTGGCTGCCATGCAAGGTGCCAACTGCTCATCGGGAGCAATTTGCTCAGACATGCAGCGAGAGGAGCTGGGGATCGAACCGCCAACCTTCTGATTTTATATGAGAGCTGCAATGATTAGTTAATTAATTGATTTATCCTCAATTGTCAGAAAATCAATTTTGTAAATATTTTGATAAGCAAATAATCATTTAAAGACCAGTGTGTAGGATTTAGTGGTATAACCATTTGAATACAGTTCACCTGCCAAGCATATTCAATTCCAAACTCATTCTAAGGTAACAAAAACACAATTCTTATTTTGAGGTAATTAAACACTAATGAAAACAATATTATATTCCATTTCTGACAATAGATCCTCCTAACCTTGATTAAAAAACCCCAACTCCTTCTTTTGTTTCACAAATGTGAAAATGTGCTGCTTTTTCTTGTCCTAACATTACAGTAAATTGAATATTTTGGTGTTTTAGACAAAACGACCCATTTGGTGATGTTACTTTGGGCTGTAGTGAATTGGGATGGGCATTTTAACTGCTTTCTGGTGTTATATATCATCAATGAGGACAATAATCTGTAGATTGAATGGTCCTTAACTGCAGCCCTATTTTGAATTGTGTGAAGCCTGCTGGATTACCTTACATCACTTAACCACAAGATGGCGTTGTTCTTAGTTTATAGGAAATGTGGTCAGAGGCTAGTAATCAACTTTATCATGGTCTCATTTGTCTCCAGTGTAACGTTACCATGGTATTACCATTATGCAGTAGAGATGTGTTTATGTAAAGCCCTTTGAACATGTTCTGTATGTTTCCCAGTGCACAATCAGTGCAATCATGTACTGTGTGTACATACACAGAAAGAAGTACTCAATTTCAATTTTCAATTTTATTTGTATAGCGCCAATTCATAACAGTAGTTATCTCAGGACACTTTTCAAATAGAGCAGCTCTAGACCGAACTCCTTTTAACATTATTTACCCAATAGTTACCACCATGAGCAAGGTGGCGGCAGCAACGAAAAACTTCCTTTGCAGACTTTGTGTGATGCCATGTTCAACATGTAGGCTTGTACCTTGATGTTGGGTCTTTCTCCCTGCACAATGACCAGTATACTTCGTCCAAGTAATAACCTCCCAGTGAGCTGCAGCTGCTGGGTCCAGCGCTTCAGCAGTCCAATGTAACGGTTTTGAGATCGGATGTGGTCCAACAACAGCACTGCAGTCAACGTCTCCTCTTTTTCTCTCCCTTGTACCTCCTCCTGTCCTCCTCTGCAGTACTCTGTCACCTCCACACACTGCTATTATTAACACAGAAGACATCATTAAAGATCCCCTCCAAGCACGTATTTAGACATATATTATTGTTCCAAGAGACTATTTGCATATGTTTCTTAAATGTTTTTTCCACAATAAAATCCTTCTACCTCGTAAAAGGCCCAATACATTCCTATCATGTAAAAATATTGTTGTTCAGTTATATGTAACAAGCAACAAAAAAATGTGCAAAGTTAGTGCTCATCAGACAGTCAGTGTGTCCACTGTTTACCTGTAAGCACTCCACCAGCTGATGAACCATTGGCTCTGGTGGTAAGGCCGCAGCGTGATCCAGCAGCCTCTGTCTGATGTTGGAACACTGAGTCCTGGAGAGACCGGTGGAGGAGACAGAGATGTCAGGGGGACAGGAAGGGTAACGGGGGTGGAGTTGGAACAACAGGCCGATGTCCAGCCCTCTGTCTCCTCCAATGGTGCAGTTGATTTGGACCATGAGCCCATCCTGAGCTAGAGGGAAAACAGAGCCATGTTACAGCACTAACAGACTAAATGAAAAAAAGTCTAATATCCATACTGTTAATTGAACAGATGACAAGCAGTGTTGGGTAGTAACTTATTACAATTAGGATTACTAAAAAAACAATAATCAGCCCAAACTACATTTGAAAGTATGTGTTATTAGATGATAGTTACATTGTCAAGGATGACTTGATAACATTTTTGATTAGGTCTTTAAAATATGGCAATTTTTAAAATGATGGAACTTTTTTCACGATAACCAATACTCTATAAGTCCCTCCAGGAAGTTACAATATTGCGTTTGCAACAAATGAAGCACAGCGTCAGTTCCAGCTACATCAGCTGATCACAGCTAGTCGTAAACACACAGCAGCTGATGGCTCAGCTGATTCCTGCTAAGCTTCCTATTGCTGCACGATATGGAGGAAGAATCATTGCGAACATTCTGACAGACACTGACATGAGTTAAATAACAATTAGTGGGAATGATCATTTTTGCATCATAAATGTTTCCTCAAAAAAGGAAAAAAAGATTCTACTCCTCAATTGTGATGATGTGACATTTCTTCATATCTGTACCAAACAAACAAAACACTAATGCTTTCTCACATCTCAAGATTTGCATATAACGTTATATTGGAAATTCGATATAATGGTGCAACCCTACTCAGGACAGACGCTTTTCTAAAATGTGGTTTTGTCCAATGTACCTACAAGAACAGGGAAATAAGTGGGAGCAGCCGGTGGAAGGCGACCATCAGAACTGGGAAACTTTAGCTTGCGTTTCAGCGAGCTGTGTGTACTTTGTGTGGGAGTTGGGGCAGTTGCATTGTAAAGGCCTGACCTGTAACATGCCCAGCGGTGCTACTCAATCAACTAGGAGGAAAAGCATAGAGATGTTACAAGGTAAGGGGCATTATTATTAGAAATGAAGATATTTTTGAAGTTAGATAGACGTTAAACAATCGTTACCAGACTGCTGGAGGAGCAGGAACTCCCCCTCTCCGCAGTAAATCGACGATAAAGCGGAGATTTCCTCAACAGCAGCTTCAGACATTGTTAATGGCTCCACCGCCGCTTTAAACAGCTCACATATCTTCAAACATTACGATATTTTTTATTTATTTATATTCACGATATATTTCCCTACATATGAAGTTGCTACACATGTCCGTACCTGTTCGTCGTCCGGGTACTTACACATACCGGGTTCAAGAGTTCCGAGCCACAATGTCCTCCTTGTGGAGAGCACACTGGTAGATTGAATAACTTCTGTTAGTCACTTGAACCCTATGAAAGCTCATTCTGTAAGTCATTATGATGAAAATAATGACTTTGTGATATTAAGTCATTATTATGAGATACTAAGTAAAGATACTCATTATTTTGAAATACTAAATCGTTAGTTTGAGACGCTAAGTCAATATTTTCTAAGTTAAGTTTCTCATTATAATAACTTACAGAATCCTTTTTATCACATTGCCGGAAATGGGCTTTTACACTTTATTATAGTAAATTATTATATCACCACTGTAGTAATACGTATTACAAAATAATGGTAACAATTCTCAATAAAGACCACATTTGTGGTGCGTATGGCGGCATTTATAGTGAATTCTAACGTATTCATAATGATTTAGGACTACACTACACATAATGCTTTCTGATGCACTTTTTTATAAAAGATTATAGATTTGGCTTATAATGAATTATGACTTCAAGGGTCTTAAGGATGAGTATAGTCCATGCAGTATCATTAATAAGGTGCAATATTTTCAATGTTTTGAAGTAATCAAAAAAATATTCAGATTAGTTAAGTTAAGTTTAAAATAAAGTTTTGGGGGGTAAACAAAAGAGAAATAAAATAATTCTAAAATATTGACAATATGATATTTTTGCCATACATTTTTATTTTTCTATATCTTCATCATCATAAATCATGTGTAATATTATTGTTGTATGCTATTTATTCCTATTTTATTTAACCAATATTTAACCAGGTAAAAACAAAAAGTTGAGATAAATCTCTTTTTCAATGATGACCTGGCCAAAAAGGCAGCAAAGTTTCACGTTTAGTGCCAAACAACCACAGGGGTTAAATGAGCACAGAAAAATAACTAAATGAATTATGCATTGTAGCAAGAACATTTTGGAATAAAAACTTCAGTTAGCTTTTGTTCAAAACAGGTTAGATCCAGATAAAGGATAAACTTCTTGGATTGTGAACAGAGGAACACTACTCACTACAATATACTGTTGACACTTGATGATGTCTGACTGGTCCAGGGGAGACCTGAGAAGGAGGGGAGGGAGGGATCAGTCAGATCTCTCAGTGAGCTCCCCTGAAAGCCATGGTTTGCAAGTTTGCACGCTGCTGACAGTGTAGCCCTACAGTTAGAGGGGCCTCAGCAACATAGGGGAGCATTAGGAATTTAGTGTTACCTGTGACAATGATGGAATATACCATACCAAAATAACAAAGCAGCTCATTGTTTGCACTAATTCAATTTAATTCAGTTTTATTTGTATAGTGCCAATACATAACATAAGTTATCTCAGGACCTTTTCAAATAGAGCAGTCTAGACCGAACTCCTTTTAACATTTACAGAGACCCAACAGGTACCACATGGCAAGCCTTTGGGACGGGGCAAGGAAAAACTTCTTTTTAAGAGGCAGAAACCCATGACAGACCCCGGCTCCAGGTGGGTGGCCCTCTGCCTCGACCAGTTGGGGTGAGAGAGAAAGAGAGAGAGAGAGGGAGAGACAGACAGACAGACGCAACAACTACACCAATACACTAATGAACATGAGAAGATGATGACGACAACAGCAGCAACGAAGGGGGAAATAGTAAAATCTAAAAGCATGAGCAGTGTTTTGTCCAGAGTAAGCTGAACTCACAGATGTTGTCTGCCTTTTGTCTTTGGTATCTTTTGGTGTGAAACATCAGACTAGGGAGGCAAGTGAAGAGCAGAGCACTTTTTGAACTTTACTGAAATTTTCTTGCTTAAGAGTTTTATCCCTTCACAGTTGGGGGCTCATCAGCATGCCAGGTTACCTCATATAAATGTAACTAAAACCTTATGCTGCTGGCAGACCTGCTGGAAGGCAAAAAAAAGTAAAACGATGGTGAGTGAGAGAGGGAGAGGGAAAAACCGATGAGCAACATTGGTCGGTAGATGAAGCTCTAGATGAGGGCACATCCAGTCAGTGGAAGGCAGAGAAAGCAGCTTCTGATGGCTACACAGTTCAATTGTTTGTTCTTTAAATTAACGTCACTTGATCAGATTTCGAAAGCCCTACATCAGTTTTGTTTTGTTCTAAAAGAACAGTCAAATAAGTTTCTTTGCCGTCTTTATGTGAGACGGTTCACATAACATAAGCATGAGAGCATCTGCTATTATTATCAAGCTATGAATAGTGCTGCTGCTGATTGTGATTTGTGGCTGAGGGCATTGAAAAGCTGCTCCACAGTAACTCTACACAGCCATGCAGCCATGTGGTGGATATTACTCTGATACAGATAATCCATGGTCAGAAAGGCAGCACATGGACCTCAAGGGACCCCTTTTCTATCATTGAGTAACCTGACTAAGTGACATATTTTATATTATATTCAATGCATAACAGTAACAGTAGAGAACAACTGATAGACTGTACAATGAACACAAACAGTGAACACTGCAGGAAGTTTGTGTAAAA